ATTTTCCCGTCATTGAATCACTTTAGCACCTTTAACAAAAATCAGTTGCGCATAGCCTGGCTGGTGTGGCTCAGTTGAGCGTTGTTCCATGCATCAAGAGGTCACCACTTTGATTCCCGGTCAGGGCACATGCCTGGGTTGCAGGCTTGATCCCCCAGAAAGGGCATGCAGGAGACAGCCTATTGATGGTTCTCTCTCATCAGTGTTTCTTTCTCTCTATCCCTCTCCTTTCCTCTCTCTCTCTAAGTCAGTAAAAACATATTTTAAAAACATCAGTTGAGCCCAGCTGGCGTGGTTCGATTCCCAGTCACGGTATATGTCCAGGTTGCAGGCTTGATCCCCAGTGTGGGGCATGCAGGAGGCAGTTGATCAATGGTTCTCTCTCATCATTGATGTTTCTCTCTTTCTCCCTCCCCCTTCCTCTCTGAAATCAATAAAAATATATTTAAAAAAAACCAGTTGAGCATATTTGCTTGGACCTGTTTCTGGGTTCTATATTCTGATCCGCATATTTATCACTCTATCAATACTACACAATATTAATTTCTATAGCTGTGCAAAAAGTCTCAAAGTTAGGTAGACTGATTCCTCCATTTTAACTTCTTTTTCACAATTGTTTTTATATAGTTCCTTTGCCTTTCTATATAAAATTTAGAATAAACTTATCTATATCTCTAAAAAATATTGCTGTGATTTTTATAGAAATGATATTAACCTTATCAGTTAGGGGGGAATTGACATCTTTCCTTGAGTTTTGCACCCATGTCTTGCTGTGCCTCTATTTATTTATTTATATTATCTTTGATCTTTTTTTAAATCAGTGTTTTATACTTTTTAGTATACAGGTCCTGTTTGTTTTGTTAAGTTTACATGTTAAGTATTTCATTTTTTTGGAGTGATTGTAAATGTTACTGTAAATTTATTATCTGTGTCCACATGTTCATTGATAGTATAAAGAAGTACAATTGATTTTTGTCTTGTATACTGCAACCTTGTTGAATTTACTTACTAGTTCTAGGAGTTTATCTGTTAGATTCCTTGGAATTTTTGATTAAGACAATTATGTCACCTGCAAATAGAATCTTATTTATTTACTTATGATCCATACGTCTTTTATTTTCTTTTTAGTCTTATTGCCCTGGCTAGAACTTCCAGTATTAGGTTGAATAAGAATGATAAGAACAGATATCCTCGCCTTATTCTCAATCTTAGGGAGAAGGCATTCAGTCTTTTACCATTAAGAATATAATGCTAGCTTATATTTATTTATGTTTTTTTGAAGATGCTCTTTATTTATTAAGGAGGTGTCCCTCTAGTTCTATTTCTCTGAATAGAGAATTGGTGTTAAATTTTGTTAAAGCCTTTTCTGCATCAATGATATGATCATGTGATTTTTGTTTTCTTTAGCTTGTTAACGTGGTGGATTACACTAATGGGATTTTTTAAAATCCTCACTGGAGGACATTTTTTCCATTGATTCTCAGAAAGAGTGGAAAGAATGGGGGAATGGGAGAAGAGAGAGAAAGAGACAGAGAGAGATTGATTGGTTGCCTCCCACCTGACAGGGCCGGGGATCAAGCCCTTGAATGGGAATCAAACCTGCGGCCTTTCAGTATGTAGGCCGACGCTCAAACCACTGAGCAAACCGGCCAGGGCTGCACTGATTGATTTTTAAATATTAAACAAGCCTTGATTCATGAATAAACTCCCCTTGGTTATGGAGCATAATTCTTTTTCTGTATTGTTGAATTCTGTTTGCTAATATTTTATGTATTGTGTTCTATTTGCTAATATTTGTTAAAAATTTTTGCATCCACATTCATGGTAATACTAGCTTCATAAAATGAATTGAGAAGTATTATCTTTCATTTTCTGGAAAAGGGTGTGTATAAATTGTATTAATTCTTAAATCTTTGGTAGAATTTTGTAGTGAAACCATCTGGTACTGGAGATTTCTATTTGGAGTGTTTTAAATTATAAATTTAACTTCCTCAATAGTTATAAGACTATTCAAATTATGTCATATGGGTGAATTGTGATAGTGTTTTTTTGAGCAGTTGGTCTTTTTCATCTAAGTTGTCAAATAAATGTATGAAGAGTGGTTCCTAGCATTCCCTTATTATCCTTTTCATATATGTAGATTCTGTATTGATATCTTCTGTTTCATTCCTGATTTTGGTATTTTTTATGTCCTCTGTTTTTTTTTTTCAATCTTGCTAGAAGTTTGTCAACTTATTGATTTTTTTCCCCCCCCCCCCCGCCAGGAAACAGTTTTATGTTTCTGTGATTTTCTGTATTGTTTTTTATTTATAACTAGTGGCCCGGTGCACGGTTTCATGCACATTAATTAGAAGAAATATTTTAATATCGCTATTCGCCCTTTCTCTATACTAGAAATGTCAACAAAAACAACCAAGTTCACAATCGACAATG